ACACATTATCGTTTAGCTCACTTTCTGAGAATCAAATACTAGATACGAAATTTTCCACTTTCATTTTATGCTTCTTTTCCTCACTGTTTTCCTCATTTTTCAATATTTTTTTACTAAATGTTAAATCCTAAAACTCAATGTGTAAATCTAAACATAAATTTTTACTTTTAAATGTTGCAGCTAAATGTTAAAGTGCCTGTAACATCACTTTTTTGTGATAAATGGGATTTCATTTTTGGAAATATAACATTGATAACATATTGCAAAAGCAATTTCACACCACTGAGATGAACAGTTGTTGAGATAGTTGCATGTGACAGGAACAGGAAGTGATGTCAAAGAGGAGTGTCATGCATGTAAACAGAGCATAGCTACGACAGCAACGCAGACAGAAGGGAATTGTCTGATGTTTCTTTAGATAATTTAGTCCCTATAAGAGAAAGATGAAGAAAAGTCAGAGTTTAAAAAATATTGTTTTAATGAACAAAGACCTGGGAGTTGCTTTTCTTAAAGAGTTCCCCTTTGATGTCACTTCCTGTTTCACTTTAGATGAGCCAAATTCAAAGGAAAATAGGCCAGTTATGTGACAAAATGGGTAAAATCATGTGTTTTATGCCAATTTTCCTAAAAATGAAGATATTTTCTTTGACTTTTTGCAYGTCACAGGCACTTTAAGGTTTAGACTGAAGAATTTCATAATGGAATGCAGCCTTTGTCGTTTGTGTGAAGTTCTTGTTGTGATGTCATCGTCCTAAGAAAAAGGCAAATGCTGGCACTGCTGAAGATGGTGTTTAATTAAATTTAAAATGTGTTCACTGAAAGCAGTATGTATGGTACCTGTGGTCCAACAGTTTGAAGTGCAGCTCAGACACTGGACACAATGGCCTGGCACAGAAAAGGTCAAGAGCACTGAAAGATATGAGGAGAAGCTCCATCATTTGGGTCAAAGGAGTCAACTAAGGTGGTTCAGGCATCTGATTAGGATTTCTCTTGGATGCCTTCCTAGAGGTATTCTGGACATCATGGTACCCTGTGGCAGATCCAGGATTCCCTGGAGGATCATATATTTTGTTTGGTCTGGGAATGACTTGGGATCCCTTAGACCTGTTGCCTCTGACTGGACCTCAGACCAGTGGAAAAGGACGAACGGATGGATGGAAAGGACAGGAAAATAAAATTTGTTGGGATTCTAAAGAGGGGTATTGTGCAAACCTGACTTTTCTGAGCTTCATGTCATGTTATAATTCCCTCATCAAAAACATCCTCAGTGTTGCTTTGATTCATTCATGCATGTTTAAGAAATCCTTGAATCTCCGTCGGTAGCCTCGTAGAGCTGCCTAAACACTTGCTGATACAAAGCACCGCCTATTTACACAAAGCTCCTCCCCAGAGCTCAGTCTTCAGCTGAGCTCCCACCCCACAGAGCACCCTTCCTCTGAAGCATTGTTGTAAAGATGTGCTGAAGTGGGAGTGTCAGAAATGGTAGGAGGTTCTTAAAGAGACAGAGGCCAATTTCAAGGCATTGATGTAAAGTCTAATTTATTTTTGATATGTACAGCATTTTTGTAACAACTGAGGGTAATATTTACTTAATGAAAGTAGAATATAAATGGCATAGAATTAAACTATGTGACTGAACTATACGTAATTCACCCCATCCTTTAAAACTTTAAATGAAACATCATGACAGCCATCAGTGAGTGAACATTAAAATTTCAACTATACCTAAAATATTTTTTAA